TATTCACAGGTGTGATCCCACTACTGATCAACACGGGAGTTTCGACCTGCTCCATTTCCAACCTGGGCCAATTCACCTCTCCTTAGGCAACCTGCTGACACCCTCTCCCGGGAGGTCACCATATTGATGCTGAACTTAGTACAGGCACCTGATCAGCATAGCACACTACAGCCCAGAACTCCTAGGTTCAAGCGATTCTCCCACCTCAGCCTCCCGAGTAGCTGGGACTATAGGCACGCACCACCACGCCCAGCTAAAATGGTAAATTTTATGTTATGCATATTTTACCATAATAAAAAAACTGTAATGCTATTACAGCAGAATGACTTATTAGGATTAGATATAGACTGGAAAGTACAGACTATAAAAACTTTCTAAAGAAAGACAACTTTTCATGGCCAGGCATAGTGTCTCACACCTGCAATCCCAGCACTTTGGGAGGCCAAGGCAGGAGGACTGACTGAACTCAGGAGTTTGAGACCAGCCTGGGCAATACGGCCGCCACACCCCATCTCTGCTAAATAAATAATCAAATACAGCCAGACATGGTAGCATGCATGCCTGTAGTCACAGCTACTCTAGAGGCTGAGGTAGGAGGTCGCTCAAGCCCAGCAGGTCAAGGCTGCAGTGAGCCATAGTCGTGCCACTGCACTCCAGCATGAGCAACAGATCAAGACCCTGTCACACACACACAAAAAAGAAACAAAAATTTCCAGAACTTTAAAAATTATAATTGTTAATATAAAAATAACATCACCTGTCCCTAGGACTGTAACAAACAAGTATGTCTAAGGACAGGAATGGTCCACCCCAACCTGGCACACTGCAGAGAGTGCTGGCCCTGCCCTCACTAAGGGGAGGCATTCGCAGCCCAGCCAGGTATCTGCAATTACCCCTTCAATGCCGGAACTAACTCACCCAAACTGACCAACCAAGCACAAATGTGCCTTCAGGACTCAAGGTTCTTGCTAAATCACACACAACCTACGTTATCTAGCATGTGAGCATTTTTCTGAATGTCTGCTAGGGAGAGGAAGTTTGCAGGAGAACAAAAGGTCTTCAGTCCACCCTAGCTTCTTTTCCTCCATTCCACAGACTGCCTTTTGTCTTGGTATGCACTGGACCAGTGGGCTCTACTGCTTCCTAACTGGGCATGGGTCTCCAGACAACTCCAAGGTAAAGGGCCACAGGCAAGATAAAGGGGAGAAAAGAAAGAGCTATGACTTCCAGGGCCACCAACTGCAAATGGTAGCCAATCTCTGAACTAACCCTTGACCAGGGATCCAAGGAACCAAGAAACAGAGGTGATCTGAAAGGAAGAGATGGTGGTTCAGCAGCGTGAGAGAAAGACACATTCTCAAGAAAAGGAAGCAAAAAGAAACCATGGGGAGCTGGGCACCACCTGCAGCAAAGACCCTGCACACATTCCGGCACCAGCCTGGCCTGGGAGAGCAGTGAGGGCAGCCCACAGTGAGTGTGAGGAGGGCTACGGTAGGTTGGTCTAAGAAAAGAAAGCACTCAGAGCCAAGAGAACACCAGTTAGGACTGCACAGTTACACTACTCAGAGAACATATCTAAACACAAGCACTAAAGACTAGGGACTAGGGACAAGAAAATATTCCCCGTTTCCTGTTTCAGGAGGGTATGGAAAATGAGTGATGGAAGAAAAACATATTTTTTAAATGAGGAAAAAATATTTTAAAAAGTTGGAACATGAGCCGTTTACTGTCACTCTAATTTAAATGGTGGCCATCTAGCAGGACAGAGCACCTAAGTGGGGAAGGGGCGCACAGGCGGGGCAGGGGGAAGGGGTGCACAGGTGGGGGGGAAGGGGGCACACAGAGGAACCCCTCCAGCTGCTGGCAAGCACACTTCCCATTAGGGCATGGGGGGTCTCCAAAGACTGATGCTTTTCAGCCAAAATAGTTACAATGATGAATTCATTTACATTGACAGACTTCCTTCGTATTTCTAAAACATGTTTTATTCGCTACCATAATTTTGGTGTTGCAGACTTAGGCTTCAAAATAAAGAACTTTAAACAAACATGAATAAAAAGCCACTTGAAAATTTCACTTAGGCCAGGTGCAGTGGCTCACGCCTGTAATCCTAGCACTTTGGGAGGCCGAGGTGAGTGGATCACTAAGGTCAGGAGTTTGAGACCAGCCTGGTGAAACCTCATCACTACTAAAAATGCAAAAATTAGCCAGGCATAGTGGCGTGCCCCATAATCCCAGCTACTCAGGAGGCTGAAGTGGGAGAACTGTTTGAACCAGGAGGCAAAGGCTGCAGTGAGCCAAGATCACACTACTACACTCCAGCATGGGAAACAGAGCAAGACTTTGTTTCCAAAAAAAAATTAAAAATTAAAAAATTTGGCCAGGCACAGTGGTTCACACCTGTAATCCCAGCACTTTGGAAGGCTGAGGTCAAGGGTTCCAGACCAGCCTGGCCAACATGGTGAAACCCTGACTCTACTAAAAATTTTAAAAAATAAAAATTAAAAAAATAGCCAGGCATGGTGGCAGGTGCCTGTAATCCCACCTACTTGGGAGGCAGAGGCAGGAGAATCTCTTGAATCCCAGAGGTGGAAGTTGCAGCAAGCCAAGATCACATCACTGCACTCCAGCCTAGGCGACAGAGCAAGACTCTGTCTCAACAATAATAACTAATTAAAAAATGAAAATTTCAGTGGGGCGTGGTGGCTCACACCTGTAATCGCAGCACTTTGGGAGGCTGAGGCCAGCAGATCACAAGGTCAGGGGTTCAAGACCAGCCTGACCAATATGATGAAACCCGGTTTCTACTTAAAAATACAAAAAAAAAATTAACCGGGTGTGGTGGTGTGCACCTGTAATCCCAGCTACCTGGGAGGCTGAGGCAGGAGAATCACTTGAGCCTGGGAGGCAGAGGTTGAAGTGAGCCAAGAGTGCACCACTGCACTCCAGCCTGGGCAACAGAGCAAGACTTGGTCTCAAAAATATATATACATAAAAAATAAAAAGTAGGCCAGGCACGGTGGCTCATGCCTGTAATCCCGCCACTTTAGGAGGCCGAGGCAGGCAGATTACAAAGTCAAGAGATCGAGACCATCCTGGCCAACATGATGAAACCCCGTCTCTACTAAAAAATACAAAAATTAGCTGAGCGTGGTGGCACATGCCTGTAGTCCCAGCTACTTGGGAGGCTGAGGCAGGAGTATTGCTTGAACCCGGGAGGCGGAGGTTGCAGTGAGCCGAGCTCGCGCCACCGCACTCCAGCCTGGCACCTGGTGACAAAGCAAGACTCTGTCTCAAAATAAATAAATATAAAAAATATATAATTCACTTAAAATACTACTGATTTCTCAGGCTGACTTCTTGGGTTTAACTCTCACTGAGGAGCCGCTACTTGGATAAGGTGAGCTCAGCAGGGGCAACTAAAGTCACTTCAACCAAAAGCTGCAAAGAGGCAGCAGCCACCCTGCAGCCAGGGTCCTCAGCAGAGCTTCGGTGCTTTGCAGGTATTACACACGTTAATGCACAAAACCAAATTCCAGCCTCTCCAACGGCAGCTATACTAAAGTTCAAAACAATACATACACAAGTTACCTCTCAGAAAATAGTTTAAGTCTCTGATACAATGATTTTCAGACACAGAAGCAGCACTACAGAGCACCTCACCCCACTGCCTTCCCAAGGGCGGGCAGCCCCTCCTCTCTCCACGGCCTCTTCTTTTTTTTTTTTTTTTTTTTTTTTTTGAGACGGAGTTTCGCTCTTGTTACCCAGGCTGGAGCGCAATGGCACAATCTTGGCTCACTGCACCCTCCGCCTCCCGGGTTGAAGCAATTCTCCTGCCTCAGCCTCCCAAGAAGCTGGGACTACAGGCGCCCGCCGCGACACCCAGCTAATTTTTTGTATTTTTAGTAGAGACGGGGTTTCACCATGTTGGTCTGGCCTCGGGATCTGCCCGCCTCAGCCTCCCAAAGTGCTGGGACTGCAGGTGTGAGCCACCACGCCGGCCGAGAAAACATTTTAAAACTAGTATTCCTGACCGGCCGTGTCCGAACTGACGTAATCGAAACTGTTGCAGCTGAAGTGCCAGCAAAGAAAGAGAACTTTGGCTCAACAGAAAAGTCAGTCTGCAGCATGAATTCTACAGTAACCAAATAACCAGATACAGAACAGGTCATGACTGATGACCAGCCGGGTGCGCCCCACCAGGGGTCTACACAGACCCGGGTCCCGCCTGTGGGGCGGTCCCTGGGGGTCGTGTCCCGCCTGTGGGGCGGTCCCTGGGGGGTCGGGTCCCTGTGGGTCAGGTCTCTGCGGGGTGGTCCCTACGGGTCGGGTTTCTGCGGGGTGGTCCCAGGGGGTGACGTCCCTATAGGTCGGGCCCCTGCGGCGTGGTCCCCACGGCATGACTCCACCGAGGAGGCCGCTGGACCCCGAGCTCGCGCCCGCCCGCGGCGCCAAAATGGAGGCAGGAAGCGCCGCCGCCGCCGCCGCCGCCGCCCGCGCCCGCCGCCTCCCGCACCGCCCGCCTGACGCTGCCGTCGCGCCTGACGCCGCCGCCCGCGCGGCCGCCCCTCCCCCGGCCCTCCCCTCCCCCCGCCGTAACGTCCTGACGCTCCGCAGGGACCCCTGACTGGACGGCGGCGCGTGAGCGGAGCGAGAGGCCTCGCCCCGGGGGGGCCGCGGGCGCGCTGGCGCCGCTTACCTGGAGCCGCGCCGGAACTGCTCAGGCGCCCAGTGGGGGCGGCGGCGTCGGGAGCTGCGGCGGCGGCGGGCAGCGGCTGTGGCCGCGGGCTTCGCTCCTTGTCGGGGATTCGGCGGCGGCGGCGGTGGAGGCGCGGGCGCGCGCTTCCTAGTGACGCAGGCGGCGGGGCCGCGCACGCACGGGGCTGGGAGGGCCGGACACTTATTTGGCGCTCCCGAGGAGGAAGGCGGGGCCGTGAAATAAGACCCAATGGACCCCGGGGCGCTTGCGCGGACCAATCCTATAGGCTCCTGAAGCAGCCGGCTCCTGGTCACCCTGGCCCGGGTCGGGCGTCGCCTCCCCGGCGCGGGCGGCCTGGCCGAGGGACGAGGGTCAGTGGACGGACGGCGCCAGGGCAGTGCCCACGCGCGGCAGAGCCGTACCTTCGGGCCCCCAGGTACGGGCAGCCCTCGCCCGGACGCTGCTGTGGGTGAACGGGCGCAGACGGGTCACGCCTGCGGGGCGGACGCCTGGATTCGAGGCCGTGGAGGAAGACGCTGTAGGGTGCAGGGGACTCGCGCGGAACATGCGGAGGGCTCAGCCAGCCACGGCGCTCCCAGCGTAGAGAGCGAGAGGCATCTGAGAGCGGCCAGGAGGGAGGGCACGGTCATCCCTCAAGCTGTCACCCCAATCCCACAAACAGCACTCCAATCCCACTGCAGTTACACAGCCGGCACCCCCACTCCCCCCTAGTCCCACAGACGGCACCCTGATCCCTCCCCAGTCCCACAGTCGGCACCCCGATCCCATAGCTAACACCCCGGTCCCACCGCTGTCCCACAGCCGGCACCCCGATTCCATAGATGATACCCTGGTCCTACAGCCGGCGCCCCGATCGCATAGCTGACACCCCGATCCCACCCATCCCACAGCCGGTACCCCTGTTCTATAGCTGACACCCAGTTCCACAGGCAGCACCCCGATCGCATAGCTGACACCTGGATCCTGCCCCAGTCTGGCAGCTGGCACCCCGATCCTATAGCTGACCCTCAGTCCCATAGCCAGCACCCCGATCCCATAGATGACACCCCATTCCCACAGCCAGCACCCCAATCCTGCTGCAATCCCACAACCGACACCCCATCCCACCCCAGTCTCGCAGCCGGCTCAGCCCCAGGGCTCCTTTGTATGTTTTATTGGCAGAGGCTGGGGCTGGCCCTATGGGCCTCTGTGCTGGGTTTCTTCTCTGCACTGCAAGGCTGGCTCTTCTGACTTCTTCCAGGTGTGATTGAGCACCCTTGCACTTGCTGTCACCCTGTCTGTCTGCAGGATCCCCGGTTCCCCTTCAGGGACGGAAATGAGTCAGAAAATAGGAAACGTGTTTGTCTGGGATGGAGCCCTGACCCTGTGCTCACACTTAAGGAGGAAGGCTCAGCAGGCTGCCTCCCAGAATGGGAGGTTCCCAAGCCAGCCGTACTTCTGAGGTGCTGCAATCAGGGCTGCAACTGCATCCTGTTCTCAGTGAAGTAGAATGTGCTCAAGCCAATGAAGAAAAGGTTTTTGGGTTTGTTTGGTTTTTTTTTTTTTTAGTTGGAGTCTTGCTCTGTCGCCCAGACTGGAGTGCCGTGGCATGATCTCGGCTCACTGGGTTCAAGCGATTCTTCTGCCTCAGCTTCCCAAGTAGCTAGGATTACAGGCACCCAACACCACGCCCAGCTAATTTTTGTATTTTTAGTAGAGATGAGGTTTCACCATGTTGGCCAAGTTGGTCTGGAAGTCCTGACCTCGTGATCCTCCCACCTCAGCCTCCCAAAGTGTTGGGATTACAGGAATAAACCACTGTATTTTTTTTTCAGAAGCCCTAGAAGCTAGCCACTGTATTTTTTAAAATTAGATTGGCTGAGCAAGGTGGCTCATGCCTTTTACCTCAACACTTTAGGAGGCGAAGGAAGGAGGATCACCTGAGACTGGAGTTCAAGACCAGCCTGGGCAACAGAGTGAGACTGTCTCTGAGAAAGAATTTTAAAAATTAAACTATTCAGCCTTTGTCAGTGCCATTATTTTACTGCTGGTTCATGTGAGAGAGCTTGTAGTTTGCGTGCTTGCCGTTTATGAGTTTGCCTATCTTCATATTTTGGGAATAAATGCCAATAAAGTCAAAAGGGGTGCTGGGGTGCCTGGGGATGGGAAGGCGGCCACAACTAGCCTGCCAAGTTCTGACTGGGGTGAGCCCTAGGGCCTGTTCTGCCTCCTTCACTCTGGGGGGTCCTTATCCCCCATTCCTCCCACTGGTCCAGGACCCTCACTACCAGGGAGGCCCCAGTCACAGGGCTGCAGACCTGAGAGAAGAGGCCAAAACACCACAATTCGAAGGCATAAACTGCCCCCTTCTGCAGGATCCGGGGGAGGCATGAGACCCTGAGGTTTAAGTTCCAGATCCTAAAAAATCAAACCTTCAAATGGTCCAGTCTACTCAGAGTTAGAGCTTCTGTTTATTCCAAAGCCTGAAGTTCTGGGTCTGCTGGAGATGCGTGAGGAATCCTCACAGGCCAGGCTTTTGTCTCTAAAGCTTGAGTTCCCAGCAGCTGAGGTGGAGAGAAAAGTGTTCTTCAGATGAATTCATGTCATCAGCTAGAGCTGTTGTCTGAACATGGTGCCTTGCAGGGTTGACTTTTGGAAACCCTAACTCACAAGGCAATGGTATTAGAAGGTGGGGCCTTTGGGAGATGATCAGGTCATGAGAGGGGTGCCCTCCTGAATGGGATTAGTGCCCTTGTGAAAGGGACCCTTAAACATTCCCCCACGTGAGAGCACAGAGAGAAGGGGCCATCTGTGAACCAGGAAGTGACTCCTCACTAGATGCTACTGACATCTTAATCTTGGACGTCCAACCTCCAGAACCGTGAGCAACAAATTCCTGTTTATAAGCCATCTAGTGTGTGGTACTTTTGTAATAAGCAGCCTAAGATAGCCAGTGTTCCTGAGCATCTACAAAGTAAGGAAATGCTTTTAAAAAGATGGAGCCTTGTTTTCTTTCTTTTTTGAGACAGTCTCACTCTCTCACCCAGGCTGCAGTGCGGTGGCACAGTCTCCAGCTCACTGCAACCTCCACTTCTGAGGTTCGGGTGATTCTTGTGCCTCAGCCACCCAAGCAGTGGAATTACAGGAGCTTGCCACCACACCCAGCTAATTTTGTATTTTGTAGAGACCAGGTTTCTCCATGTTGGCCAGGCTGGTCTTGAACTGCCGACCGCAGGTGATCTGCCCACCTTGGCTTCCCAAAGTGCTGGGATTACAGGCATGAGCTACTGTACCCGGCCAACTTTTGTATTTTTTAGTAAAGTCATGGTTTACCTTGTTGGCCAGGGTGGTCTCCAACTCCTGACCTCAGGTGATCTGAAGCCTCCCAAAGTGCTGGGATTATAGGCGTGAGCCACTGTGCCCAGTCAAAAGATGGGGCCTCAACAGAGAACAGAGGCCCAGCCTGATGGCTACCACCAGCCAGCGCCTGCAGAACATCAGCAGCCATGGCATGGCGCAGCACTAGGTATGAAACCAGCCTGACCAACATGGTGAAACCCCGTCTCTGCTAAAAATGCAAAAATTAGCCTGCCCTGGTGGTGCATGCCTGTAGTCCCAGCTACTCAGGAGGCTGAGGCAGGAGAATCACTTGAACCTGGGAGGCAGAGGTTGCAGTGAGCTGAGATTGCTCCATTGCGCTCCAGCCTGGGCGACAGAGTGAGACTTTGTCTGAAAAAAAAAAAAAAACACCACACACACAAATAAATAAAAAGAGAAAAGAAAGTGTTGACTGCAGGCTGGGCAAGGTGGCTCACATCTGTAATGCCAGCATTTTGGAAGGTCCAGGTGGGTAGATCACCTGAGGTCAGGAGTGCAAAAACAGCCTGGCCAACATTATGAAGCCCCATCTCCACTAAAAATACAAAAATTAGCTGGGCATATGTATACCTGTAGTCTCAGGTACTTGGGCAGCTGGGGGAGGAGAATCACTTGAACAGGGGAGGTGGAGGTTGCAGTGAGTCAAGATGACACCACCACACTCCATCCAGCCTGGGTGACAGAGTGAGACTCCAAAAGCAAGAAAGGAAACAGGTGGGACCCTCAGTGTGTCTTTAGGGCATGGTGGGTGAGGTATGGTGCTGGCCCCTCACGTGGAAGTAGACAAAAGCTGACTGTGTGTCTACTAGGGAAACACTGACACAATCACAGTGAATCCCTCAGTCCCACAGGGACTGCTGGGCCAGAGTGGGTTTGGTAGCAGCAGGGACAGCTGGGCAGAACGGGTTTGGTAGAGACGAGGTTTCACCATGTTGGGCAGGCTGGTCTCAAACTCCGGCCCTTGTGATCTACCCGCCTCGGCCTCCCAAAGTGATGGGATTGCAGGTGTGAGCCAGCATGCCTGGTCATCCTTGTGTTTTTCAGTGATAAAATGAACATGTCTTATATTTGTAACAAGAAAAAAAGACTAGTGTAATAATGCCTATCCTGTTTTTCCCAGAGTGGACATTATGAAGATTTAAAAACATTTTAAAGTGTTTTGAAAATAATAAACTATGATATACACACAGAGTTTTAGTGACTAGAAATACAAGTTTATTGTTTGTTGAGACAGGCCCTATTGTGTCTCCCAGGCTGGAGTGCAGTGGCACAGTCATGCTCACTGCAGTCTTGAACTCCTGGGCTTAAGCGATCCTCCCACCTCAGCCTCCAGAATATCTGGGACTACAGATGAGTGCCACCATGCCTGGCTAATATTTGTATTTTTTGTGGAGTTGGGGTTTCACCATGTTGCCCAGACTGGTCTCAAACTCCTGGGCTCAAGCAATGCTTCACAAAACGGTGGGATCACAACTGTGAGCCACTGCACCCAGCTGAGTTTCTGTTGTTTGAAGCCACTTCGTTTGTGGTACTTCTTACAGCAGTCCCAGGAAACTAAGCAACTGTGGAACATTAAAATTGCTTTCCTTCAGCAGAAGGAGAGCACTTGTGGTTGGCAGCAGCTTTTCCTACGTTCACTTCTGCACATCTGCACCTTTGACCGCCTGACTTGAGTGCACAGCAGGCAGGGGGAAGCCTGGTTGAGTCAGGACTCTGCTTGTGCCGTATCCTCACCTGCTCTGCTGGACACCTCTGTTTTGGGGTTGCCCACTGCTGCCCCAGACACCTAGCAAGCACCAACTGTGCAAACATGCAGGGTAACTATTTTGGCCCGTTTCGCACTGCTCTAACAGAGTGCCACAGACTGGGTAATTTCTTTCCTCAAAGTTCTGGAGACTGGGAAGTCCAAGATCAAGAGGCCATCAGGTCAGCGCCTGGTCTCCGCATCCACGATGGTGCCTTGAACACCGTGTCCTCACATGGTCGGAGAGAGAGAGCCCGCTCCCAGGAGCCCTTTTAATAGAGCAGAACAGGACTGTGCTGCGGATAAGTTTCCAGCACAGAAACTTCAGAGGGGACATGTTCAGATCATAGCCGTCAGTCTAAATAGAGGGTCTGAGGTAGTTTTAAAATACATTCACGGACTGGCCGGGCACAGTGGCTCACGCCTATAATTCCAGCTACTCGGGAGACTGAGGCAGAAGAATTGCTTAAACCCAGGAGGCAGAGATTGCAGGGAGCTGAGACTGCACCACTGTTCTCCTGCCTGGGTGACAGGGTGAGACTCCATCTCTAAATAAATAAGAAATATGTCCACAAATTATTTAACATTCCTCACCTTGAAAGCTGCAGCCCAATTCTCTCCGAAGCGTGAGTCCTCTTAGTGACTCACTTCTAACAGCAGAAGTTTCGTGGCTCCCCACACCAGCTTTTTCTCCCCGCCACCTCCCCACTCCCCCTCCCGCCGTTTGCTCGCTCTAGGGGGCCCAGTGCCATGTTTCCAGGGCACTCAGGCAGCCCTGGATCATCCATGTGGTGAGGAATGGAGGCCCCCTGCCTACAGCCTCCAGAGGGAGCCTTCTTAGGAGATGCCCCAGACCATGCCCAGCCTTCAGATGGCCAGGGCCTCAGCCAATGTCCTGACCACAGCATCATGAGGGACCCCAAGCCAGAATCCCCCAGATTTTGTACTCCTGACTTCCGGGAACTGACAGGCAGTGTTTGTTGTTAATTAAGGGGTGGCTTGTCATGTGCAGTAGGTCACCAAACAGCTCTGTCTGGCCTCCCAGTAGGAGCCTGCCTTTCCTTTTCTTCATGAGAAAAGTGTGATCAGTTTGTGAAGGAGTCCCTGCCCCCATCTGATGCCAGAGGCTCCACATGGTGACTGTCACAAACTCCATCTGCCCCTCAGTGCCTTGCCAGGCCCCTGGCCTGCGATCAGCCTGGTCTTGTGGGAAGTCAAGGCCCGTGTGTCTGCGTGCCCAGATGCAGGCAGCCAAGGCCCGTATGTCTGTACCCGGAATGCAGGTGGTCGAGGCCCGTGTGTGTGCATGTGCCTGGGATTCGCCCGGCCAAGGCCAATGTGTCTGTGCCCAGGATGCGGGAGGCTGAGGCCTGTGTGTCTGTGCCCGGGATGCAGGCGGCCGAGGCCGTGTGTGTGTGTGTGTGTGCGCGCGCCTGAGGCGTGCTGTATCAAAACACTTTCCATGTCTTTGTCTTTTCCCCCCTGCCATGCCCTTCTCCCTTGCAGATTTCTCGTCTCTCGGTCTTCCCCAGCTGAGTTCTAGATCCTGACTTGCCCACCTCTCCCTAGACTGGAGGAGAGGTGATAGCAAGTGTAGGGCTGTGGAGGCCCCACAGGGTCGTGGGGTGTCCCTTATGCTGTGTTGAGGTGCAGGGTCCGAGAAGTAAAGAGGACACTGAAGAACTGGTGAAGAGCATCTGGACTCGGGGTCCACACCACCTGTGAGCGGAGATCAGCGGCGGCCCCCCAAATGCCCCAGAGCATCTGTATTTATTAGGTACAAGCAGGGGGCAGGGTTGTGCGTGAGGTCATTATCTATAGGCTTAGTAATAGGGCATACATAATCACGTGAGTCACAAGCGAGGGGACCACCCCATATGTCACCTGGGCAGAGAGGTGGGCCGTGTGCAG